TTTTGTTTTACCAAAAACTTTGATAAAAAATATATTCTGTCTGTGGTTCATGTTTTTCATGGTCCACAAGAAAACAAGTAAGAAACACGAGGAGAAAACAAAGCATGGACAGGACTTCATACATGAAGAGCACCTTTTCCATAATCTTTCCTGATATTAGAAGAGTTCATTTGTGTTCAGAACAAAAACAACAACAAAACAAAACTTGCACCTTCAGCTTGTAGCAGAAAGAGTTACGACTAGCTTTATCTCCAAACAGGAATGATCCTTTATAGTCCCATTTCAAGTCTTCATAATGAAACTAGACCAATTACTAGGCTTTGAAGATTAACTGAAACTCCACAAAACAGCTGTAGACAAAAGGCAAACTTCAGCTTTTCCTCTGGCTTTAGTAATGAAGAAAACTACCCTGAAATTAAGTTTGGGTGTATTTTACAGTATAGATGTAACGCACACACTTTCTGTACTGGGGCAAAGCTCCAGCTGCCACATACTGCTTGTTCAAAACACAAGATGCTTTTCTGAGAAGACTCAGCTCAGGCGGGTGCTGCCTAAAGCCTAACACAGTCAACTTGTATGGAGGGAAAAAAGTACATGATATAAAACAATTCTAAAGACAAGACATTTAGCTTTCTTCTGTACTAACTATAATTCAACCATGCAGACTTCCCCATGATAAAACACCAAGAACAGCAATGGATTCAGCTGCTTTTCCTCCCAAGGCCAAAGGTTCACCCAGCCTGGGCACACCACAAGGTAAGAGAATTGCAGCTTGCCAGAAGCACCAATTCTCTTGAATAACCTCCTTTCAGCTACTAAAACACATTCATTTCCTCTAGGAAATAAACTACTTATGTATGTATATTCTGAATTCAAGCCACCAAAACAAGGTGACCCACTCAAAGCTTGAGAACAGCTCTCAACACTTTCTCATAACCTGTAGGCAAAACCAAGCATAGAATTGGTTGTAGTTCTGTAAAATAGCTACATCCTCTTTGGCATTCCTAAAGCATCCACCACCTTTGTGTGCAGATGCCAATACTTGTTTTATAAACCTGGAATGGTGGGGGGAGATTATCTAATAGTGCATTTCCCGTATCTTGATCCTAAATCATACCTTGTTTTGAGTGATTGTCTTCTGCCTCTATGTCTGAGGTAATTCATTTCGGTGTTCCAGACATGGCATATGCACTTTCTCTTTGCATGAAAATAATCATGGCTGTGGTATTGAAAGACAGCACTTTGATTAGCTACCTCTAGTAAAATTAGAAAAAAAAGAAAAAAAAAAGAAATCAAACTGAGTATTAAAACCTATGCCTAAAAAGGCAGTCACTGAAAACTCTGGGATTAAATGCTCACTCTCAGCTTATCTTTTCCTAGACCACTGTCCTGACTAGCCTTCCTACCTGGGACAGGCATCAGAGGACTAGATGTGGGGAAACCAAGAAAATTACTGCATATGACAACCAAGGGAAAAAGAGAGAGGCTTGAGGATCAAGGGGACCAAAGGGGAGCCTCAAACGAGGCATCCCTGACACCATTTCTCAAAGAGACATAAAAAACCAGCAGACAGCACCTGGCACCTCTCTGTCTGGAGTCAGGAGAGCAAAAGAGTGGAAAGATGTCCTATCCCTCTGTTGGGATTCCTCCAGTCAAGCTTCCTTCTCATGGTGCTGTGGGTTTCTGGCTTGACAGAGCCCGGCAAAGGTTAATGGTGAGTTCCTTGACATGGTGGGCTTATTGAGCAAGATAGTGGCTATATTACAGAAATGCTGAAGAAAAACTCAGGCATCTCTCCTTTTACAGCTAAGACTTCATGGTTAAGGAAGTTTTCTGAGCAACTGCAAGATTACTATAGGACAAGGAATATTACTAATAACACAACGGATCCTACAGATGGAAAAAAACCCATCAAAGCCTACGTGCTCCTACAGCTCAAAGGCAAGGCAAAGAACACTGAGAAGTTTGTAATGTAGGTTATCCAAGGGTAGGATAGGATATAATTAAGTCTTGAGAAAGCCCCTTTTTCAAAACCAAGGTGAGGAATTCTATAAAGCATAGTATGAGGAGTAAGCCTGTCACCTGTGGTCAGGAATCAGTGGGCGTCAGCTACACAGCTGCAATGATTTAAGAACAAAGCAGTAATCACAACTGTACATTAGAATTTATACCAGATATACTACAACCTGGAAAAGATAAAAGACCATGATGGCAAGCATGAATGTTACCATTACAAAAGAAAGATGAACAGCTTTTCTAGAAGGAGGATACCTCAGGGTCATTTTGGTGTTGACAATTTTTAACATAAGGAAGAAATTATATCCAAAAACCCAGTTGTGACATCCAGTCAGAAAATAAGCATCTAGATAACACACAGCAGTTCCCTATGGTGAAGCAAAGAAGTCAGTTCTTCATACTTCATATATTCTATGTGCCAACAACATTTTTTTTAACCTTGTGATACCACTGGACTCAGAAGTTGATAGGAAACAATATGGAATAATAACGTACCCATTCTGACAAAGGCAGAACATGGAATCCTAGACAAAGGTCTGAGTAGTAACTTTGCTTTTAGATCTTTAAAGAAGATGCAACACAATGATGTTCAGTTTGTTCACAGAAATGCTTTTAAACTCTTCTTTGGTATGTATGACCAATGTGCTTTGTGTCTCAGAATTAAATCAACTATATGTTACAACGTTAACTGATCTGTGAAAGAGTTATGCATATGGAAACAGTAAATTGAGAAGGAAAAAGCTACCCAGAATGGGGAAAAAATTCAAAAGTTCGGACATGACTGGAACCAGATAAGGACCAAGGGAGTGATTTAGAATTGGGTGTACATAGAAGAGGTATATCACAAGTGGCTTTACAGGGGATTTTATATCCTACTCCTGTATTAGTTTACTCAATAAACCAAAGGACTTAATCTATTCAGAGGGTATCTCTTCATTAATAATATGACAATATAAATGCTTTTCTTGATGCACAAGATTAAATTAGCAGTCTGAGTAACTAAATGGTGGTAGCTCTATGGGAGGAAAAAGGGCTACAGCAATGACTTGTACAGTGAATAGGAACTGAACACTAAGAAAAAAGCAAAAAGCCACACTTACGGCACAGAACAGGAGAAAAGGACTTTATTAGTGCAAACCCTAGAGGTGTACAAATGTTAATTGATGCCAAATCAGAAGGCTAATTAACACCTGGCAGTACAGAATCTCTTACCACTTCCCTCTCCCCACCAGGAACAGGCGTGCTTTGGGACTGTGTGCCTGCCCTGATGCTCCAAGATTAACAGTTATTAAATCCCCAATTCCAGGACTTCTGGTATTCTCCAGCCTTATGTGGAAAGAGTTCGTAATTACCCCACAGGCAGTAATGCAAGACAGTGATGAAGTCTGAAGAGCCCCAGACTTGTCTGGATATGTACGTCTCAGACTGTGTTGCTGATATGATGACAGTTTCCCATAATGAATCTACGAAGTAAGGACAGCAAATATGAAAAATAGTGTCTGTCTGTATATAAACTGGAGGGTTTGCAGTTTTAACTGGACAGCATATTATTTAGTACAAGAAGCACTAGTAATGCTGTATTGTGCACAAGAAATTCATAACCCTTCATTGCTTCACACCAGGAAGAATCAGTTGGCATGAAACAGTATCAAGACATGGACATCCTATACATTTCCTTAACTTAGACCTCTGAAGCTTTGTGGATAAAAGTTCCCCGGTATTTGATAGTACTCAACAAAAGAAGGCTGAAGTTGAAAAACCAAGCTGAAGAGGTGTACAATGGTGAACTTCATCTTGGGGGACACTATCAGAAGGGCCAGACAGTAACAAATATACACAAGCTAATGTTTCGCACTAAAGCAAAAGCTAGTTCTGCCTTTCCTAACATTTTATTACATAAAATTTATTACATAAAAATCCTAACAGATTATTACATAAGACTGGCAGAGAATCTCATGGGATTACTGTTGCTATCATTATTGAGATTGATTTTCTTTAAAAAAAGTCCCAAAGCTATTTCAGCACTTACCAAAGAAGATTTGAATGGGAAGAAGTACTAGATTTGTGCAGGCAGGACAAGAGGAGGAAAACCCAGCACGCTGTTTTCGTAATCAGAATGTAACCCCTGTCAATAAAAATACTCAGTGATACAGAAGGAACTTTAGGAAGTGCATGGGCTACTGAGAAGTGGAAGTAAAAACTGTTAAATTTATGGCTGGACTCAATGATCTTGAAGGTATTTTCCAACCTAAATGATTCTATGATTCTAAATCATAAATTAATGGCTGTAAATCACATTTCCCTTCTTATCTGGCTTCATAAAACAAACAGGGAGAAATCTTCTAAACCACAGCTTGGTATGCCAAGAATTTTGTAAGAGGGTGAACATACCAAAGCAAAATGAACACTGCAGTGGACATATAATCACACTAGGAATGCCTCTGATCAACATTAGCCAGGAAAACACCTTGTCATGCAGCACGCTAGAGCAGGAAACTCAAGTGAACAGCAGGTTTTACACTCCAATTCATCCTGATATTAGTCTGAACGGAAAGGCACCACTCTACTGAAATTCACTTTTTCTCTAAATGACTTGATGTTCATTCTTTACATTACTGTAGGTGACAAATTGAAAAACAAAAGAAATATGCTAACAGAACCCAAACAGGACACATACAACCCTGTAATATTCCCCTGGACTCCCTGTGCATCCTTCAGTGAAAATGCAGCTGTTTTCACTCCTACAGACTCTGTTTATACATTACAGCCCAATCCTGTGGATAATTAAAGTAAATTTAGATGTAAGTAATCCAACTGAGGCCAATGAGCGTGCTAACATGCATACAGTCACACAAATGTTTGCAGGTTGAGTTTGATGATAAAAATATATTAGCTCATGCCTCCTAACTAGCTATTCCAGTGAAACAAACTTTAGCAATGCACGTGTTTCCACTAACTGGGATGTGGACACTATGGAAGGTGACCATCGCCTTCTGAAGACTGAGGAGCTCCTTTCAGTCTTCATCTTGTGCAAGGTATCAGATCAACACAGTGCCACACCAGCAGCTTGTCAACTTAATTTTTATCTGAACAGAAGTATAGTAACAGCCTTCTAATAAACAAGTAGACATTTGGGCAAAGCACGTATTATACATTTCTTTTGTATCTATATTCTACCTATTGATCATACTGGAAGCTGATAACACAGTTAACAACTTTAACAGACAAGTGAAGTGTATGCATTTATCGTTTGCATAGGAAGAGGAAGATCATGCACTTAGTTAAACAATTTAAAGATACAATAACATTACCATATATGAGAACTAGGATAAATGAAATATATAAACAGTGATAAATGAAAATGGGACTTTCAGTAACAGGGTGAATTCTCCTGGATTCAGATACAAGGAAGAGACACAGGTTTACCATCAATACCCTTCCCCTCGGAGAGGTCTGAATTATTTTGCCAAAATCTGCGCACAATTTCCAGGGAAAGTTAAGGGCATTAAGAAAAGGATACACAAAGGTCAGCATGCAAATTGAGAAGCTGCCTCAATTAGCCCAGATGAAACACGGAGGAGAGGAACTCAATCCCTGTCTTATCTCTTTCTGAGACTCAGATATGTTTCTTTCAATTACTGGGAAGGATGTTATTTGAGTCAAAATTCAAGACTTGAGCTGTCTCTTGGAGCGACACCTCCACCAAAGATTAACAAAACACAGCTGAAGTGGCACCGCTCATATAAACAGTAGATGCGCTTACTAAGGAAGCGTCTAAGCCGTCAAGTCGTAAGATGGTGTCCCTACCTGTCACACTGTGGGGTCAGATTAAACTCTCCCATGCAAAGATCAGCACCTGGCTGCCAGCTGCTGGCCGGGACACAGCCTCATCTGACAGGCGTGCACCGTGAACGCCCACAGGACTTGGCTTCACAGGTGAGATCGCTGGAGAAAGGAGAAAGGCCTGGCTGTGTGTGCCAACGCCGGCCATGAGCACGGTGCCGCGCTGCTCAGCGCTGTCAGGAGGTGGGCAGCCTGGGACCTGCCCAGAGCAGGCTTCCGAGTGCCTGCGGAGCTCCAACGGCAAAAGCTGTGGTGCCCGGGGACCTGGCTGTGGGCACGGCCAGCAGCTCGGTGGGGAAAGATTTAAGGTTGCCCATTTTGGGTCTGGCTGTCTGCAAGAGGAATGCCCCAAGAATCCTGAGTTAATTTCTACTGCAAACAGCCAGCTAGCGTTTCCAGCTATAACCTGACGTTGCTTTTAAAATAAGGGTTTGGCAGGTAACTTCATCAGATCCACCACGAGCACATGAATTGAGGGAACAATTAGAGGGTTTTGCAACCCTAACTGCAGTGATCACTTTTCAAGGGTATGAAGCTGAACCTAATCTCATGAGGGATGTGGCAGAACTGGATCACAGAGAAATACGTGACTTTTTACTTAAACAGAAGAGGAGTAAGAATAAAGAATGTGTCTTGTTGCTTTGAAAAGCTGAGCAAAACACAGCCATCGCCTACAGTAAATAAAAACATATTTAAAGAAATACTTTCTTCACATAGAAATACCAGAAAGTACTTTTGTTCTAGCTTTCTTAACAGTTATTTTGCTGAGGATTCATATGCCCCTGCTTAAAAGCAGCACCGGCTGCCTGTGTAGGAAGTCTGCCTCCCACCAGAGCCCAAAAGAGACCCCCGGGGCTGGCAAGGGGCTTAGTCAACCCTTTACCTGTGTGAAGTCCTTTCACCCCAGCATAGCACATTTTATTAGAAAGATCCAAAGACTGAGACAGGCCGTTCATTAAAGAGCTCAACATTTTATTAACTACAAATGAAAGGTAAGACTTTCAAAAGCACCAGCACAGGACTAAAATGGCCTTCTTCAAAGCTAAGGGGAGGTTACTCTTGACCTTGACAGGAAGAGGGTTGGGTGAGCTTGGGTTAACTATGAATCCTTTGAAAATCCCAGGCAAGGTGGTGAAACTCTAAGATTAAGAAGGCTGCCAGAAGAAGCGGTGCACTAATGGCAAGTTATTCCCCTTGACCCAATGCATTAATGCTTATTTCCTGCACACACAAACTGTACAGTATAAATCAAATCGGCTCCTTCTCTAAATGTGGATTGGAAGAAACACCGAAGCTTCACTTCAGTTCACAGCAGAGGTGCCTGTCAAAACAAGGGTACAACTCCTTGCCAATACATCAATATATGAGGGAACACAAATCTATTTACAGACAAAGCAAGAGCAGGAAGAAAACTTACAAAGAAAATTTGACAGTATACTGGAACAATGATACAATGGCTAAAAGAAGCAACAAGATTGGTTTTCTGTTTACACAGTCAATTGTCAAATAGATAAAAATTGGCTTTAAAAGTCTTGTATACAAAACCATAAATCTTGTAACAAGATAAACTGCAGCTGCATCACTCTGAGGTAAAGATGAGTGATACTTGGGTGCTCCTAGTTCTCATTCATGACCTTAAACAAATCTGGAAGGAAAGCTTAGTTGCATATGGCAGTGCAGGAAGGGTTTCAAGATATAATAACCACGCATAATTAACTGTATACTAGAGGAACTTCCTCACCTTGGCCATACAAGCGACATTTCCCAGTGAGAAGTAAGTCACATCACTGCTTGTATTCTCAGTCAGCAGGCAAAAAGCATGTACAGTCTGAACTAGTAACAGCTTTTCAGTTGCAGAAATGATTTTTCTTTGAAGGTCAAGACATGCTGCCATGTCAGTGTAGGGACGACAACACAGCACCCATTCCTTCACCAGAGAGAACATCAGTGGCTAGACCTTTGTCCTGCTCTGCTCAACAGGAGTCTGGCCTCTGACTTCACTGGAGTCAGACTTTCCCTGTGAGACACTAGTTAACATTTTTACTGACTTTGGGTGGCTATGCAGCCTCCCCAACACATGCAGGCTAAGGTGGGTGTGTTTGCTGCTTGGTTAGTTGGGTTTTTTTTTTAAAAAAACAGCATTCATAGACTTAATTTATGAAAGACAATAGACTTTCCCCATGCAATGGGAATACAAAAATTAAACAAACATTTTCAGATGGAGCTCCAAGGCAATTCTGGAGGTGCTAAAAGAAGAGCTGGCCAGCTCTGAAGGAAATCATTAATGGAGAAAAATTTCATGAAAAGAAGTCTACAAAGTTTTAAGTAGGAAATTCTCTCAGTCACTCTGGAGCATATATTAGTGTATATCTATGGGCCACAAGGGTCATTAATTAGTATCAACCGAATGCCTATACTGATGACATAATGCAAAAATAACAACTGCATCTTGCTTTTTCATGTTTGCAAGTGGCTTTATCAAGCTGCAGGATCAGGTCCTTACAAGAAAGTTTCCAGTCTGTTCTAGAAAACAATTATTATTGTCCATACAAAGCTTTTTCAATGGTTCCCTCACCACATCCTGAGACAAGACCAACAGTGGGAAGCTGGCAACAATTAAAAAAAAGATCTCAAGGACCATAGAGGACTGCAATTATGCATGGTTTTGGAAATATGAGACACGGACATGATTTTATCATACTGTGATGCAAGTTGAGGAGGAAAATGGACAGAGAATTAAGATATTTTGTCTAATGGAAAACTACAGCTAGTGAACTCTCTAAGTCATTTACAATGGACATACCCCAAGATTAGAAACAGTACTGTAAACTCTGGGAAACAGAGATAGATACTTGAACAATCAAAGAAAAAGAAAAAGGATTTATTTGCATACAGCAGCACCCCTGATATGATGCACATTTATATCTATGTATGAACACAGAATTTTGGGAGGAAAAGATTCCAAGACTGCAGGTGTTTATGGACAAAATCACCTCATCCACTCGCCACAAAAGCCTATGTCTATATTAACAAGCAGTAGAGAGCAACAGGACAATACCTACAGACTGATACAGATCACAGTGACGATCTGGTGTTCAGACTATACACAGCCTGAAGGTTTCATTTCTAACTGTCTCTACTCTGGTCTTACGGACTCTGTGAACACCCGGAGCACATTTTCCTGTTTAGAGTCTCCTGAAAGAAATCTAAATCAAACACTCCAATTCACTTAAAAAGCACATTTCTAATCTGAACTAGACATCACGCGTACATATCCAAACTGTCCTATGTCAGCTCCAGTTATATTTGTACTAAAATCCCACATACTGAGTACACAGAGCGTGATGCCAGGCTTACAGAATCAGAGAAAAATTTAGGTTGGCAGGGACCTTTGGAGGTCATCTAGTCCAACCTCCTGCTCAAAGCAAGGCCAGCTTCAAAGCCTGATCAGGTTACTCAGGACCTTCTACGGTTGAATGCTGACTACCTCCAAGGATGGAGGTTCCATAGCCTCTCTGGGCAACCCTACTTGAGCTGCAACCTCTGGTGGCCAGTGCTTAACCTGTCTTGTCAAATTTTTTTCCTTGTTTACAATCAGAATTTCCCTTGCTACAGTTTGTGGCTGCCACTTCTTTTCCTTTTGCTGCGCACCTGTAGGAAGAACATTACTCCACCTTTTCTGAGTCTGCTTGGCTTTTTCTTCTCAGAGAACAAACTCAATCGTCTCAGCCTTTCCCTGTACTTCATGTTAAACAAACCACTTTAGTGGTGCTCCACAGGACCCTCTAGTTTGTCAATCTATCCCTTGTACTGGTGGCATAAAGCTAAACACAGTATTTTAAATACTAGTACCATCCTGGTACCAAGTGCAGGGGAATAATCACTTCCCTCAGCCTGCTGGCTTTGCTCATGCTGATGCAGTCCTGTGTCAGTCCATGCCCTCCATCAGTGGTTGCCTTAGTTTTGCTTCCACTGTCAATGTACCTGTAGAAGCTCATTTTGTTGTCCTTCACATCCTTGAACAGTTTCAAACTCAGATGATCTTTGCTCTTCATAACTCTATCCCTAAAAGTTCACAGAATGCTTTTATATTGCTCCTCGGTAGCCTGTCCTCACTTCCACCTCCTTGACAACTCGCTTTTGAACT